GGGCAGGGCAGGGCAGGTGCGGGCAGCCAAACCCGGGGCAGCGGCAGGCAGGGAGCGCAGGTGAGAAACGCCGGGAGACTTGGGAAGAAACTTTAAAAGATGATGCCGGTGCGGGTTCTGCAGCCGCCCGGGCTTTGGGCTGCGGGGCTGGGTTAATTCTTCCCCCCTGCGGCGCCGGACCCTGCGGGAGGGGAGCGCGGGCGGCCGCGGAGCGGAGAACGGGACGGGCGTCGAGCCCCCGCTGCACCTCTTCCCCGCGCCCGTGCTCACCGGCATCACCGTCGCCTGCGTCCTCCTCTTCGTCATCGGGGTCATCGGCAACCTCATGACCATGCTGGTGGTGTCGCGGTTCCGGGACATGAGGACCACCACCAACTTCTACTTGTCCAGCATGGCCTTCTCCGACCTGCTCATCTTCCTCTGCATGCCCCTGGACCTCTTCCGCCTCTGGCAGTACCGGCCCTGGAACTTCGGGGACCTCCTCTGCAAGCTCTTCCAGTTCGTCAGCGAGAGCTGCACCTACTCCACCATCCTCAACATCACCGCCCTCAGCGTGGAGCGGTACGTCGCCATCTGCTTCCCCCTCCGAGCTAAAGTCATCATCACCAAGGGGAAGGTCAAGCTGGTCATCCTCTTCCTCTGGGCCGTCTCCTTCATCAGCGCCGGACCCATCTTCGTCTTGGTGGGGGTCGAGCACGAGAACGGCACGAACCCCCTGAGCACCAACGAGTGCCGAGCCACGGAGTACGCCATCCGCTCGGGGCTCCTCACCATCATGGTCTGGACCTCCAGCATCTTCTTTTTCCTGCCCGTGTTTTGCTTGACCGTGCTGTACAGCCTCATCGGGAGGAAGCTCTGGAGGAGAAAAAGAAAGAACATCGGTCCAAATGCTGTCATCAGGGACAAGAACAACAAGCAAACTGTGAAAATGTTAGGTACGACTCTTCTTGCTCTGTTTTTCCAAAGGATGTGTGTGCTTCTGTGTGTGTGTGTGAGAGAGAAAGACTAGAGAGCTCGGGTAGTTCGCGTAGTTCCTTCCAAAAGGAAAGCATTTATTGAAAACGTCTCATACAAAGGGCTACACCTCAGGGTACTCGTAGAGTCACTCTCCTCCTTCCTTAGATTTATTTCTAACTGGTTTGAGCTGGGGACTCTCAAACTGTTAAACAAACGTTAATAACAATCACCGACAAGAACAAATACTACAGTTACAATTAGCTAGTGCCCTGGAGATTTTCGAACATTTTTGCTCTTTGGTTGTGGATACTGATGTTATTTACAGAAGGATAGTTTATTTGATTTTTAAACAAAACTAAACCCTTCTCAAACCACAGAGTTGAGCTGCACACTAAGCAAGCAGGATATGATGTGCACTTAGTCTCACACGAAAGAGAGTATCAAGTTTTTAGCAAGTCTGGGCTATTTACTGGCATGGCTGGGTAAGCTTATGAAAATTTATCTGCATTTTTATATTAGCAAAACACCAGGATGTGCTGAACAGGGAGCATCGTGTCTTCTTTGAGGTCTGTGATCCTGTAAATTCTCACTGACTTTAAGAAAACAGGATCAAGACGACAGACACTGTCATCCCTAACTTTGTATAGTTACATTGCTGAATGGTTTAAACAACAGTTATTGCCAGCACATGCAAAATTTTATTCCAAATTTTAACATAGCAAGAAAAACAATTTTTAACATACTAAGACAGTGCACGTGGTGGGAGTTTGATGCACAAACCCAGAAAGTTGTTCTGCAGTTTAGTGTCTGAAAATTGCAGCATCCTGCTGCTGCGTACTTCTATTTAAGCAAAAAAGTCCCTCACAGTGCCAGACATCCCCTGGAGTTCTGTGGGGATGAGATGCTTTGCGTGGAGAAGCTTTCACAGGCAGCAGCTCCGCTGTGCTGGTTTCAGCTAGGCTGAAGCGATGGGCTAATGAGCAAGACGAAGAGGGGCAAGAAATGTGTCCTAAGTACCTTAATTATTAAACGGGAGCCTAACTGATTTTTCTGTTCATGTCCTACTGTATTACTATGCAACAGCAGGAAGAATAATAAAAACCACAGCATTCTTTGTGCCCTTTCAGCTACATTTTATGATCAATAGAATTACTTCAGTCTGGTAAGCGTGACCTTGGAAGTAATTCATCATTTACACTTCTAGAGTTTCAGGATTATGAATCTCCACTTACAATAACTCAATTGCTAGAATATATTACTGCCATGTTTATAGTTCTTTATACTTAACCGTAAAGAATTTTGAAATAATAACTGTTTATTTCTGCCCCGAAGTATTGCCACAAGCATTACAATATTTCAGACACTTTTTTTTTTTTTTTTTTTTTTTTTTTAGAGAGACAGTGTTCTCTAAATGATATCAGTCTGATGGAAAGAAAATAAGTTAGTAAGGGCTCGGTACCAGCAGATGCTCAGTGCAGTCTGCTCTCATTGGTTTTAATGTTCTGCTTAAAATTTAGAAGGCACTTTTGAAGCCTTCAGGAAGTCATGGAACATCAAGTAAATGGGATTAGCATCAACACTTCTTTTAAATTGTAAGGAAAGGTTATGTTTCCTAGGTCCATAATTAAACACCTGACTTGCGAAGGAGCTATCATACCCTGTTCCTACTGAAGTCAGTGTGATTCTGCATGAAAATCAAACTCTCAAAAGCCTGACTAGGGATATTCATGCCCACATGTGAAAATAATCATTACACTTAAATTTCTGTTCTTAATGACTGTTACAGTAATATCCATTCCAGGGATTAAATTCCACTTGTGAGCTAGGGAAACATTTTCTGAATTTTGTAGGTGGAGATACTGAGGAAAAAAAAAATGGAAGTGGTTGACTCAAGAAGATGCAGAGACGGAAAACATACCCTGAAGCTCATCTCTGTCCTTTAGAGTTCAGCCTAAATCCTGCATAAGAGTCCATTTAAACTTGGGAATGCTTGTTCAGGAAGTTTTTGGGGCAAGATGCCTGTAATCATCCCTCTTAGCTCGTTGTCTTTTATTATCTGCTGTGGCTTGGCAGTATTGCTAACACGGGAGAACAGGTTAACTGGTAAAATTTTCTTAAGAATGTCAAAAAACCTTGCTCGAGTTTTCCGGGTTTTCTGTCTCTGGTATATTAATAGATACACCCGAAGCAATAGGAAAAATAATAAAGGTCAATAGCACAAAAGAAATGAACAGAAAAAGTTTCCCTTAGGATGGAAATTCAGACGGGCCAGTATTAAGAGATACACACGTTCTATTATTCTACATACGTTATATTTAGATCTAAGTGCAGCCACAGTGATAGTGTAATATTACAGAGACACTGTACGATTATAATTATGCAGTTATGTATTATATATTTAGTTTTACTCTTCTTGGAGTAACTCATGCTCAAAAAATGGACAAACTGGAGGGCTGCACCACTCTTCTGTTCTTACCTTGGCACATGTGCTTTACAAGTCCACATTCTGGTTTGAGTTATTTTGGGCCTTTGCCTTAAATTATTTTGCTTTGCCTCAAATTATTTTGCTTCCCAGTGATTACATTCTTCCTTACAAACCACAGTGTTGAGTCTATCACATTATATATAAACTGCTTTTGTTAAACACTGCAGGTGATAGATTGTTATACTTTTTTTTTTGGGTCACTATTTTGATTCTTTAATTCTCTATTTATGAAAGCATAAATTTTATAGAAGTATGCTACATCAGACTGGTTGTAGAATACACAGACAGCCTCTTTAGCTATGATCAATGTGTATTAAGTATTACTAATTTATGTTCTCAGAGAATGTATTGAGATGCACAAAACTGAAAGCTTACAGGATGCATTTTCACACCTTGTGATTAATTTGTTGGAAAAATAGAATTTTAAAAGAGAATTTTAATCACCTATATTTTAATACTCATGCTTAACACAACTTCTTCTGCTGTTTTCATTTTAGTTGTGGTGGTATTTGCTTTCATACTCTGCTGGTTGCCTTTTCACGTAGGACGATATTTATTTTCCAAGTCCTTTGAAGCTGGATCGTTGGAGATAGCAGTGATCAGCCAGTACTGCAACTTGGTGTCCTTTGTCCTCTTCTACCTTAGCGCAGCCATCAACCCCATCCTCTACAACATCATGTCGAAGAAGTACCGAGTCGCCGCTTGCCGGCTGTTTGGACTCAAACCCCTTCCAAAGAAAAGACTCTCCAGCACAAAGCAAGAAAGCTCGCGTGTTTGGACAAAACAGAGCGTTATCACATGACACGTGATTTCCAGCACCAGAGCATCACTTACCTGCATTTCCCAGAAAGCCATAACGAAGGAGAAAGAGGGCAAGAAATACAAATCGAAACGTTAAAGCTGTACTTTTGTCATCATCTGGATTTGTTGAAAGATGTAATGTAGGCAGTTAGAGAGGGTTTTTTTTTTTAAAAAAAAAAAACCTAAACTTTGAGACTATAATAGGAGAGACATGGTCACAGAATTTGGCAACATTCAAGTGTTATTTTTCTGCTGCTTTTACCCATAGTTTTTTTTAGCGCTGACTTTAGCAAGAGAACTAGGCAAGCGTAGCCCAGTTCACTTGAGAGTTGTGTGACTTCAGTAGAAGCTCATTCAAGCTGAATTTTTTCCAGAGTTAACTTTAGTTTTGCTAAGAAGTTTGTCAGCGTATAACCAGACCTCAGAGAGAGAAAACTGAATTGCCTTTTTGGAGCAGTAAACAAAATTTGATACACTTTTCATAATCTTGATTTTTAAATAAACTAACATTTTTCTCTGAATGAGGAAAATAATTTCTTAGAAAAGGAGAAATAAAATAGATAATTTTTAAACATGCTAAAAATAAATTACCTTCATGTCATGTCTGAGTAGAAAGGAAACAAAGAAAACACCTTCACAGAAGTGGCTTTGAACATGACTGTACTGAAATATTTTTTTTAAATATACAGCAGTGGGACAAGGTCAGAGCTGACTTCAGGACTGCAGTGATGCTATAAAAACATGGAATGCAATCTCCCACCAAAGTCTTTTTTTTTTTTTTTTTTTTTTTTTTTTTTTTTTTTTTTTACTAGCTAGATCATCTGTACTTGTTCTGTTCAGCTTGACCGTGATCGACTTGATGTGTTTGAACTTGGAAGCGTTTAGCTGTTTCGATATTTGTAACGAGTCTGTGGCTACCTGTCCCTACCTGTGCACCATCGTACCCCCAAAGTTTGCTGAGGAAGGTCTCCTGCTGGCAAACCACCACTTGTTTCTGTTTAAAGCATATCGGCTGGTTACTAGTACCACATCTCTCCATAAATCCCGCTGTGCAGTTGTACTACTTTGCTGCAGTATTAAATTGAGAACATTTTTTTAGCCAGCATGACCTGACAAAGTCATTAAAAAAATCTGCATTGAAAGACACTGGCAGACGCATTCTCATGCTTCATCCATAAAAATATAAAGATCAATTGATTTTTATAACTCAACTATGCCATTAATGGGCAAACCAGAAATCTTTCCATCCTTTATGCTGATAAATAGGTCTTATATTGCATCTATTGTCACACCAACATGTAGATTTTGTGGTCCAGCTAACAGAGCTTCAGAGCATGCACGTGCGATAGCAGCTTTCTGTTTACTTTGTTCTAGTATTTATTACCAGCTGGTCCGCAACTGATTCGCATAATGAATTATCTGTTAGCAGAAGTCATACTGCCTTCAAACTCCTGTTGATGCCGATGGGCCATTTTCTGCCTGTTACACCTTTAGCTGACGGTGCTGCTCAGGTATAACTCAAAAGAGAATTTGGCCTCTTGTGTATATTCTGTGGTTTTTATATCAGCCAGCGCTTTGCTAAGGCCGGGGGGCTGACTGCTGCTCCTCGGTGTGGCACCTGAGCCTGTCTTTCTCCCCACTCCAGCACTTGCAGCAAGTACAGGTTTGGTGTATGCAAACCTGTGAATTAAGGGACAAGCGAGCAGCAGCGCGATAGGATCATCTCCTGTTTTGTCTCTAACCACGTCCGCCTTCTCATCCATTTGGTTCTCTCGCTCCTTGACGGACAAACAGATCTGATGGCAGATGTCATGCAACTCAGGGAAACAAGAAATTTGGGAATCGTGACAAGATTGTGTAGATGTGAGCTCACCAATAACACATCTGTGTAACTGAACCGACCACGCACCTAGCGTAGCGTCACCTAAGTGTTTTCAATCTCAGCTGTGTCTGTGGTGTTAAATGTGAACAGAAAATGAAATAAAGTGATGAGACCCTTCATAACTCTGCCGGGTCAGTGGTGGAGGAGGATCTGGGATGGTTGGAGAAGCGAGTCTTGGTCAGGTTTGGTGCCGGGCTTTATTTTTTTTCCTGAACACATGTAGCTAAGTCAGTCAGGCTGTGGTTTTATTTGGCTTTTTTGTTTGTTTGGGTTTTGTTGGTTGGTTTTGGGGTTTTTCTGGGGTTTTTTTCTTTTTTAACCCAAATAACATTAAAACCCTCTGTAGAAGCATTTAATTTCTGCCTATATGCTATAAACATACAGATAATTTCATTTAAGCTAGCGTTTCATCAGGAGAGACAGTAAATTTTAACTATACCAGTACTGTGAAATTACCACAGCTTTGTGTATAGAACAGAATTTATAACATTTAATCTGGGGTCACAGAAGTCAGAAAGAAGAGGACTGTCTGCTCATGGGGAGGGAGGACAAGGCTGCTCCCTTCTCATTTAGGAAATGGACTTGTTTCTGCAAATCATTGAACATTTGGCCAAATCTAGCAAAATCCATACATTTTTATTAAGAGTAGCCACCTTCCTATGACTCTTGCACAAGCAGGAAAATATTTCAGATCCAGCAGGAAACATTCGATCATTTAATGGACACTGTAGCTGTCACTCCTGCAGCTGGCACTCTACCATCTACTAGTTTTGCTTCCCTCAGTACAAAAACTTTTCTATATAGGAAAGCTAAAGTCAGTGGAGTCACACTTACTGGTGTGCATTGACTCCAGGGGTGACAGGGGTCTGCTTCTTCGCACAGGTACCAGCACATAATGAACTGCTATTATATGGGGAAAAAAAAAAAATTACCTGAATAGCATCCACCTTTGCACCATAAAACCAACTGTTGCCAGATGCCTCCAGAAAGATATGTATCACTCCTTACCAGCACTGATGGAGGAATCCAGCATTGCTCGCCTAGGTTGTAAGAAATAATTTAACTGGGAAAAACCGTACAATGAAGATTTCAATAGCATTTTTTACCTAAGAACAGCTAACTGAAGTCAGTCCAAGACAGTATCACGAGTGTGCCCCAGGCAGTAACATGGGGCAAGGTTCCTCCTGCCTCGTTGCTGCCAGGTTTTCCACGGGCAGAGCAGATGCTGCAGGCTGAGGGTGTGGTGGTGAACAACCCGTGTTGGCGAAGGCAGCGCTGGCGCTGGTTTGATCATCCATCCCACCTGCTGCAGCTGCAAAGCGTTTGCAGCCTTGGATATCCCCGCCAATACTTCCTCGCAGAGACCGAACATTTCTCCTCTGTTGCCCAGGGCATTTGTGCAGCACCTCGTGTGCCTGGCATCTTCCCCTCAAAGCCTTCCCTATTTGAAGGCGCATGGGGTCGTTCCCCCCAAGCCTCCCTCCACCCCATTTTGGGTCTGGACATGGCTTTTGACATCTGTTTTACATGCAGGGAAGACAAGGTCCCTTGCAGGAGCTGGGCTAATTCGTGAAGTGTGGCAGACAGGTAGCTCTGCTGGAAGATTTCTTTCAGGCTGTTGAGCTGTAGGCTGAATTTCAAAAAACTCTGCTTTGTAGGAACAGACTTTGCCAGCTCTAACTGAAAAAAAACCCAAAAACCACAACATATAGGGGCTCTGAGTCAAAATTTTGCCGTGTCCTCACTGACCCGTATGTGAGCAGCCCATACAGGAAATAACTGGAGGTTCATGCGTTAAACAGCTCAAGTTTTAAAAGCTTTCCTAACTCTACATTTTGTATGACAGCTTCACAAATAAACAGGAACAATTTGGCTGCATTTTACTTCTTGGCAACATGTTAAATTGATGATGAAATAGGTCAAATCACTTTACCAGAAAGCTTCATTCACTGCAGAAAATCACCTTTGACAGAGGCATGCGCAGGCAGAAAAATCACGTCCTATTGTATTTCTTGCCAAAAATAAAATATGCTGGAAAAATAGCACTTACATGTCAATTTTTGAGTTAATAGATATTCAGCAGTTATGTAAGTTTGCATTGAATGACATTTGCATAAGCCCTAAAGCAGCAGCCGGTTGTGACCTAAACACCCAGGAGAACCCCCTCCACCGTGGGTCTGCTGTAGCCGGGGTGCTGCAGCGGGTCCCTCCTCATCTGCTGGTGGGCAAGGGCAGGAGGGGGTGGCTGCAGCGGCTGCTGGTGCTGACAGTCCCTGCGCAGGGCTGAAGGTCCTGCTCGGCGGGAGACCCCCCAGCGCTCGCTCGCGTTGATCAGCACGTTACCTTAGGGGCTGTTGGCGGTTCCTCTGAGCCCTTCAGTGAGTGCTTCCTGACAAGCTTCCACACGGTTTGTATCATTGGTAAAAACCCTGTGGCCTGGAGGAGGTAAATTCCATCTTCAGAAATAAACTCAAAATTCATTAAAAAAAAAAAAAAAATCTACCTAACTCATCATACCCCAGTGACGTCTGTGTGGTGAATCCCACGTGCCCTGAACCACCTTCCTCACCCCCCAGCTGGAAGTACAGTGATTTTACCCTCCCAGCTTTTGGTGAGCAGTATTAGCCCAATTTTATAAAAAAAAGGGAATTAAAGTGCTTGGTGCTTTAACCACTCACAGCCTGCTGTCTCAGAGGATGGAGTGCAGATCCCCTCACCCCCCTCCGGCTGTTCCTCCTTGGGCTGGTGCCGGCAGCTCCGAGCCCCAGCCCTGTTCCTAAGCTGTGCCGCAGGAGCGCTCAGCACAGTAGCCCGAGATAACTGTCATGTGGGAAATAAGTAACCTCTGGCTGACGCCGCAACCTCCGGAGAGCTCAGCCAAGGGGAGCCTGAACGCAGGAAACACAGGCCATGCTTCCAAAGTCCTGCTTCTGCCCCCCAGCCTCAGGGACAGCCAGCGAAGATGTACCGGTGGCCACAGCAACACCTACCCCGCCAGCGGGATTTCTGCCTGCACACGAAGCCTTGCACCTGGCCCTGGGTCTGTGCACACGCCGGAGCTTTCCAGAAAATTCTCTGGATGATCCAGACGGACGGATTTCCAGCTGATGTGGGTGCAGGAGTTGGCGTGTCTTGGGAACACCTCCTGTGATTTACACTGTTTCACACCACTCGCTGTCAGGCACGTCCAGCTGGAGTCACACGCTGCCCAGCTGTCACGTAAGCAGTGCTCGGAGAGCTGGAAGCTCACAGGGCATTAACATGAAGTCTCTCTCTGTTCATTTAGGCAGGTCTAACGTCCACGTAGGGCAGTGGTACACCCCCGCCCCCCAGCCATCTCCTCCCATCCGCGCATCCCTACCTGATGTACCGCAGCAGACTCTTT